GAGACCGCCGAGGGTATCCTCCGTTCGCTGCTCGAACTGCGGGCCCTCAGGGGGCGGGTGGAGAGGGCCAGACAGAGGTGGATGTGCCCCGAGGCGTACCAGGCGCTGCGGCAGGTGAGACGGGGGTGGGAGGAATCTTCGTTGCTGTTGGGAGGCGAGAAAGTGCGGTGAAATAATGTCGGTGGTTGGTGCCGGCGTATTTTGGGCTGACTTGGATGCTGTTGGTGGTGGCGATAGTGGTGTGTGCACGATGACTGAGGGTATCTATAGCTATTTTATTGGGCGGAGGTGGTGATTTGTGTGTGTGTATGTGTGTTTTTATTATTAGCATCGACAGCGCTTACCGGCTGACCAATGAAAAGACGTCAGTCTCAGTGCGGGTGAAAACCAAGAACACTTCTAAATGCCATTGACTGGGACCCCGTGAGGGGGCGGCATGGGGGAGACTAACCTACTATCCCGATCAAAGACAGAAACGGTAGCAACAGAAGAAAACTGCACACGTCTACGAAGGCTGCTACCTTGCACTCGAGTTCGTTTCGGAGTGCTTTCACCGTCATCCTCCTTCCTTCCAACTCCATGTGTGTGTGCGTTTTCGTCCCATCTATCTATACTGGCGCCAGTCTACACACATCTTGGAGGATGTGATGGACGTTTCGGCCGGGGTCACACGGGATGAAAACGTATAGTTGCGGCAAATATCGCTCTGGGGAGAAACTAGATATTGATCCAGCCCGCTGGCGAAAACTGACCCCATGCCTGAGCCCCTCGATCACGCTAGATACATGCCGGCGTTTGAAGAATCAGGTCAGGTCAAGCACACCGTTCCATCGCTAGTGCAACCCTCCTCCCTCCCGCCTCCCCCCCTATCCCCCTATCCCCCCTTCGACGAAAAGGAGATCCTGGAAGCAGCGCACGACAGGTTCAGGTTTCCGGAGTTGAAGAAGAAGGAAGGGAAGGCGGCGGCGGATGGAAGGGTCGAGGCAGCTGTCGTGGAGCAGAGCGCCGGCAAGGGGTGAGCGGAGTTGACATTGCGAGTGTTTTGGTCTACTTAAGTATGTACAGGGTACGGGTGTCGAAAGGAGTTGGGCCGGTGATGGTGTTGATGGTGGTGGTTTCGCTTTGGGATTATGAAGGTTCGTGCGGGGTGAGGGGGCGGTGGGGGGGAGAGGTTTGGCGAGGACAGGTGTTTGAAGCCCGGAATGTGTTGATTGGTCAAATCATGATCGAGGATCACGCGCTTTGAAAATTATTTCTGAAACAACAACGTCGACGACGACAGCAACAGCAGCAGAGGAGGCAGCAGCAGCACGGCCTGCATAAACTATTCCTCAGAATACTTACTGACATGAGTGTCTTGGTTGCTGAAATGGGTCCCTAATGTCAATGTCGTTGGTTGTTTTCAGAGATTGCGGGAGGCGGGGGCGAGGGGACGAAACGCATCTCTTGGCAATACCCACCTCTCCTTCGGCCTGTTCATCAACCTAGCTGCAATCACACAACACAGCAGGAGCACTTCATACCTTGTCACACCATACCATGTCATACCGTACCATGTCGTTATGTAAACCGAGCCCTTTGGCCGCTGAGCAGGAAACCTGTAAAGAAGACGGCGGCGTCCACGAGGAAGCAGAAAGGGAAGAAGAAGGACAAGGAGGAGGAGAAGAAGACAGGGGGGCAGAGGAAATCGACCGCTGCGGGGAAGCGGCGGAGCACGGCTCGTTCACCATCAGACGCCGACGGGTGAGTGAGGCAGCCGTGCGGTCCATACCGGCGTTGTAGCCTGTTTAGCACAGGGCTACACACAGTACGCTATTTCACGTGTTTTCCCTCTCAAATCAAAGACAGTTGAGCAGGACATGGAGGACCGCATGCCCGCACAGCAGTGTGCCGTGTTCTTGATGTTGTGGAAGAGGGGAGATATGCTTTTCGAACCTGCTTCTTCGAGCTCCATGGCCAACTCTCGGGTTGGGGGACGGTGCGTGCATCACTTGGCACGGGTGCGACAGGGCTTGATTAAACCAGTCGATCGATTTCGGCGACGGACGGGGGGCGTCAAGAGTCGTAGCGCCGCCTTCAAGCTGTTGACAATTTTTATCGCTTGGCCACCCTTTGCCCATACCCTGCCCCCCCGTGTTCTTCTATGTCCAGCTCGTCCGGGGTGGCAGAGGCGCCTTCGCCTCCTCCCAGCACTGTCGTCGCCACCGACCAGCCTCCCGCCGCCGGCAAAAGCACGGCCAAGAGCAAGCGCAAGCGGCGGTCCAGCATCGCATGACCGCAGTTACAAGGAGTAGCCCGGCACCCTATCTGTATCCCAACCACAGCCAGCGAGCGTGGTCGGTCGTGTGTATGTACGTCTCGGCACCAGTTCGGTCTTGCGGCGGCGCACAGACCACGGCAACAGAAGCAGCGTTGGGAATAATCTTTTGCGGGTGGGCGTTACGTTTTGTCAACCGGGGGCTACAAGGACGTGGTTGTCCTTTTGTATTGTACAATTTCGAGGGTGATACGACGGTCAGCAACCAGTCCGGAAGTTATTTCTGCACGGTTAGCGATGCCGCCCCAGCTGTCGTGCCGACTTTCTGATACGAGGGACGAGATGAGTACCATTTCTTCTTAGGCTAGCCAAGCTTGTTGGCGTGGTTCGATGAACGCGCGCGAGGTGGTTTGCTACGGCGTTTGCTTCCTTGCCGAGGGTACAGGGCGCCTGGTGCAAGGACCGCGTTTTTTATCATGTAGACTATTTGTTGTTTCTCAGAAGACGAATGGGTGTTGTCTTACTGTAAAGTACTTGGTTGCCTGCTGTCGTCGTCGTTTTGGGGCAGTAAGTCGTAGGGATACCTACAGTACTAAATTCTCGACAGGGGCGGTTGTGTTCGTATAATATCATCATCATAGACCCTCACATCCCCACTAAGTAAGTCGGCACGACTACCCCGAGCCTTCACCAACCGTGCTTGGGAGGGGGGCGGTCGGATGGATGGGGGGGGGTCACCACACTGACGTTCCGTATGTCTACACAGACAGGTCATGAACGATACCACACGCTTGCTTGCAAAGTATTAAGGGTCCATATATACACGTAGTCCTTCTGTTTTTTGGACAGCCTACTGTAGAGTAGTAGTTTACGTTTGTTTGCGGGTGCTTACACACCGCAGCGTCCTGTCCTGCTGCTTGCTGTCGTTGTTGGTGTCGCGAGGATTGAAGTAGTTCTCCGTGTGATGGGCTATTTTCGTGAGACACACACAGTATGCCCCCTAAGATGATAGTGTTTTGATACAGTTTCACCCGGCAGCCGGCCTCGCCCGTTTAGGCCTTTCTTTGTCTTTCCTCGACGGCAGAATGATTTTGTTTGTTGGACATTTTGCGTTTTATCGGTTTGTCGCCCGTCGGTACGTTTGATGGTTTGTCCGACCTTTATATTTTCTGATGATCTGAAGATACTCGGTAAATAGTAGCCTTAGATCTACAGGAGGGCCTGCCTGCCTGTGCACCTTTTTCGTGGCTCGAGGAGGGTAGTCGGCTGATGGCTATACCAACAACCAATGCAACGAAGCCTTGATTAAATTGAGGACTACGGTATACAGACGGTGATCCTCTTTCGCCTACTAAGGGAGCGTAGGCTGTACATTCCAGAGGGGATGAATGCCGGTGAGAAACAAAGATTTGAAGCTTGGTCGTCAGTGACAACAGGACTGAAGAGTGTGAAATGAGGTATTGTAGTCTATGTATTGCGAAGTTTCTAACACTTCATTATTAGTATGAACGCGCATTACCCATCATCAGGTGCCTGGAGTGCCAGCAATGATGTGGAGACCAAGTGCAGACACAATGAATGACAGCGGTTTACAAACCCATGTCCAAATATAGACTACAAGAGTAGCTGTGTTTCATTTTGAGTTTCTACAGCAGTCATCACCCCAACACAACACGTACTTACAGCGCGCAGAAAAAGCAGCATCAGCGGTTGGTATACATACGCATATTGTAGACGAGGCTGCCGTGCATGTTGTTGTTGTTGTTGTGCAGATGTGACAATATGGTGGACACAGCCAAGCTAAACGAACGAGAGGGGGCATCATCCACACCCTCTCCCTCCTCCCCCCCGCATGCACGCGGCACAACGCACGCACGGCTCGGCTATTAGTTGTGGCTCTGTCTGTCTTTCGCCGCCCCACCGCGCATGGTCCGCCCAATCGATGTCGCCGAGCTGGCTATTTCGGCCGTTGGTGATTTCTTTCGCGCGCGAACCAAAGAACGAGGGGGGTTCGAACTCCCTTTGTTCCCTAACGCTCAACATCGGTTGTTTATTGGGTTTTGTCGGCGGACCTCCGCGCGCAATTGGAAGAGACACCTGCGCACCTGTACTACCCGCCACCTGCTGTATAGCTCTGGGGTGGGGTGGCAGGTGGTAGGCAGTAGGCACCAACTTCCGGCATCCAGTAGAGCTGTCGATCGTTCCCACGCTCCTCGACAGGCAGGCAGATAGACGTGCTGCTGTTTTGCGGGTATAGAGGAAGAAGACCAGGCGCGCAACACACCTTGCTCTCTGTACCAGGGAGACAGACACTCTCGGCAACTTTTCAGGCTTCTGACCAAGGATCGCTGCGTGTGCGTGCCAGAGACAGAGAGCGCGCGCGTGTGTGCGCGCCGCGCGCCGCGTGGTCCGGTGCTTGTCGTCTTCAAGTAGTGTAGAAGGCGCCGCGGGTTGTCGCTGCGGCGGGTCGCGGCGATAGAGGAGAGGAACAATGTTTGTTCCTACCACGAGAAAGCACAGGAGGGTACCCTCGAGCGGGGTACGACCTCTGCTCCCTACCGTCATGGACGAGGCCAGCGAAGAGGCTGCCAGTGGCGGGGAAGACGGCGGCGGCGGCGGCTGCCGCCCTTTCCCGCGCCCGCTGAACGGAGCAACGGCCGGGCTAAGAGGCAACCTGCACGGAGGCGGCAACACCAGCATCAGCAACACGGGCTTTCCGCCGGCACCACCTGCAGCCATCGCCACCGATGCCCGTGCTGCTGGGGGTCATCAAGGCACCAGCAGTGCAACAGCAGCAATAATGCCCAAGCCTCCCCGTAAGGGTCAGCGAGGCATGCCTCTCATGCAGTGGGTGTGGCCGGCCAACAGCGGCCTGGCGAGGGTGGGATCGGAGTGGTTTCGGGGGGCAGGATCGGGCGCGGACGGCGGCGGGACGGGCGGAAAGGACCAGCAGCAGCAGCAACAACAGCAGCAACAGCAGCAGGAGAATCGCGTGAGACTACAGGGAAGGACCCAGAAATCGTCTGTGGTTGTGGGGACGGTGTGCCAACCGGTGAGGCCGACAAGGCTGGATCTGACGGCGAGTCAAGGTGAGGCTGGCTTGGGGTTGATGCCGACATTTCGGTTGCAGCGCGTGGGAGTGCTATCATCGCGTGTTGCCGTGATACATTGTCGATCTATGAAGAAAAAATAGTGATTACACGCACAGAAAGACTACCCATTTGAGACATACCCACAGTCGAACGGGATGTGGTCGAGTCTTTTCAGTGAGTGGAGGAAAACCGGCTGGGTACTGGACTTATTTATGTATCAAGAGAGAGAAAGAGGGTCGATTTTTTGCTTCCCGTCGCAAAGTGAACCGCCGCCGTTTGTCCGTGATTTTGTTCTCAGTTTGGGGTGTGCCGAAACAAGAGCGTAATATATAATGCAACATGCATACAGCAGTGCTGTGTAAGTATAGTAGCATGTTCCAGTGGTGCAAGCGTCAACCAACGCGCCTCTTCTAGACCAGGATCGACAGACACGTTGACCGTGCAGACAAAGGGGTGTTGTTTTCGCCTTTTATGTCGTTGTCTCGGGGAACTTTCGGTTCAGATACCGGTAGACTAAAGACTGTAGCCGCCGTAGTCTACTGCTGTGACTCGTCGACATACAAGCGAGTTGCTGATCCAGGGTCGGTGTTTGCAGCAACATGAAACCTGACAGATTCACGGACTGACGTTCATCATTCTCTTGTCTTGCATGCAGCAGTGGTGAACGGCAGTATACGACATCAGTTTCAGTACCCTCTCGATGCGGCACTACTATACGTACCGCCCCTTTTTTCCCTCTGCGGTGCGAGGAAGGAATATCGACAGCCTCAGCAGATAATGCTTTCTTCAGGGTGGCTGAGCTCACCGAAAGAGTCGCCGCCGGTCCTTCCGTCCTCGCATCCGTTGGCCTACATGCAACAGCCGTATTACTTCACGATGGATTTGGGGTGTCAATGCATGTCCCTCCGTCCAACGGGAATGTATACGCCGCTGGCCTGTTCTGTTTTCGTTGCTTGCTCAAAGATGTGTGCGCTTTACAGCATGCATGTGTACGTACATGCGCACGGTACACAAGCGGGAGGGTGTAAACGCCTTCTCTTCCACTTGTGTGGCGTGGTACCTTATGCGTGTGGGTGGGTACTGAGAAGCAGTGCCGTTGTGTACAGTAACTATCGTGTGCTGAGCGGAGGAATCTCTCTCGTTGGTTGGCATCAATGGTTGGGGGTCACCCTTCCCTGTCGCACTAAGTAAGTAATAAATTAACCTATCGCGTTGTAGCACCAGAGTACAGCACTACGTAGTATCCCACGCCCACTAACTTTGATGTCGCGTGTATGCATATGCATATGAACACCATGATGTACATACAATGTATGCATACAGAACATTTTACGCGGTGGGTCTCTCACGTGACCCATGAGCCGAGACCCGGGGTATTTTTTGCCGTGCGCCGCTTGTAACGGTAATAATCTCACAAGTACGACGGCGCCCGATCATACCCCCCGGGGGAACCGAGGTTTTTCTTTCTGTTCTCGTGTGCGGTGAAGAAGAGTGAGATATCCTTGGACGATATCCTTGGACCAAAGAAAGTTAGCCCCTAAGCCCAACAAGCCAACCCCGCGGCACGGTATCTAGATATCTCTGCAAACAACCAACCGCGCGCCGAGTTCCATCCGAATGCTGAGTCCACCCAGCTTTAGAGCCCAAGGTTCAACTTCATTCAACATGTCTTCCCTCTCCGCTGCCTCTACCGGGTAGGGTATGATAGGTGCCACAAACCTCGATCGCCAGGTGCACGGGAAGCAAAAGACCCCTGCTTGGGGACGGACACACATTTCCGTTGTTGTTGTTTTATCCTCGATTTTGCTCGCAGCGCGGTATGCTAATTATCACCGTGCCGAGCGCCGGCGCACACCCCCGAAAATTATGAATCCCCGCAACCTTTTATATCCACCGCCTCCCACACCTGTTTCAGAGCACCAAGAACATTCAACATCCAATGACCGAAGTGTCTATCGCCTTCAGTATCATGCCTAACGGCAGGGCTCTGGTATGTCATCGTCAAGAGCATGTAGCGGCAACGTCGACGTGCGCCGAGTACGGCCAGCAGAGAGTAGCGACCCGCCCATACTACCATGTTCGTCTTGTACGAAACGGTGCGGAAATGCAGGAGCAGCAGCAGGAGCCCTCTACTCGACCGCGCACCCTTTTCCTTCCCCGTTTGATGCATTGCGTTGATCCCACACTTGGTCCAATCAAAGTCGAGCGGGAGGCGAGGCACAGCAGCAGCCGCCGGTCCTCGAGCCACTGCTGAATTGTGATTCACGGCTATGTACATATGTGCAGCTAACTTCCTTTTCCTCTCCCTATCGAACCAAAGCCGCTCGCACGTCCACCCTGCACTACCTATGATACCCTCTCTTGCCGATCGATCTGTCTCTCTTGACACTGCTCCAATCGCTATGTACGTGTGCCGCTCCGCCCACTTTTTTTCAGGGTACCCCACGTCCTCTCGAGTGATCTACACGGCGAAGGGCGGGCACGCCAGCAGCACCCACGCCCACGCCAAGGGGGACGCCCTGACATTGACGATGGCGGCGGTGGCGGCAGCGGCGAAGAGCGCGAGCGCTCGGCCGTCGGCCCTCAAGCTGCCGTCGTCTCCGCACCCGGCCGACGACGCGTCGCCGTGGCTCGACAGCCTGGGCCGCAGCTTCGGCGGCGGCGGCGGCGGCGGGCGCAGCCGCGGGTACAGCGCCCACTCGGTCAGCGCCGCCGGCCTGCTGAGCCCCCGGTACCTCCAGTCCACGACCGTGTCGCAGGCGAAGGCGGTGGAGCCGTCCGGAAAGAATCACCATCGCGCGGAGCAAAAGCAACGCTCCTCAAGGCGTAGCAACGGCGGTGGCCAGGCCCGTGGCCGCGGCCGCCGTCGGGAAACGGTGGGCGGCGGCGGCGGCGGCGTGCGGCGGCGAGAGCGACGTCGGATTTGGCGCCTGCGGCGGGGGATTTGGTGGAGGCATGTTGGAGAGCCTGGGGGGCTTCCTGGGGATCGGGAGGGGGGGCGACGGCACGCCTTGGGCGACCGGGGCGGTAGGCGGCGGCGGCGGCGGCGGCGGCGGCGGCGGCAGCGGGAAAGACGCGGCGGGGTGGGGGAAGAGCAAGAGGGCGGGGAGAAGTAACGCTGGGAATAATCATGTGAGTCTGCGGTTTTTCGTTGCTGCCCTTGATGCATACCGACGTCGCCGTTCGCCGTCGTCGTAAAAGTGGGTTTGCTGTTGTGATCGCCTATTGGTTATTGGTAGAGTCCATCCTGCCTGTGCGTCTTTTGTTTTCGGGCCACGTTTTTTTTTCTTTATCTTTTGGCTGTGCGGGGGTGGTGGAATGCGGTACAGCCGGAACCGCACGCACGTATGTAGCTCGTTAGAACCTTCACTTTCAAAGACCCCGTTTCTATTTTCGTTCATGGTTATGAACAAACGCGGTATGGATTTTTCTTGTGACATGGCGCGGAGTAAGCTTCACAATCAGAGCCTGCGGGTCGCTCCCTGTTACAGTACAGTAGCAATTGCTGGAGGAAGGATTTTGCGGTGGAAGCACATGGCGTGTGGCGTGAATACGGGGATGTGTATCGTGGACCGGCAGTAATCTTTGTAGGAGTACTCCTGTCCCCCCCTACAGCATGTTGTTCTGGAGAGTGTTTTTCGATCAATTCACCCTATCCACTATTATTGCTCGCATAAGGTGGCATACGCTCTGGTTGAGCTAGCTCTATCCCTATCCCTATCCCTATCCCTATCCCTGTTGCTTGTCTTGTGGCGGAGGTGTCGGGAACGCGGGGACCAACAAGTTTTACATCGCAGCGACAGGCGCGCTGGTGTCGATCGTAGTCGACACAGCTTTCGGAGATTTCGTAGACCGATCCACGTTCCAAAGAGGACGTGCTCCACTTCCACTTATCTTCCCTCGCGCACCCCACCCACGCTGCTATATACATCATGTGTAACAACCATTAGGCGGCTCGTGGCAGCAGCATCGGCCCCGTTGGGGAAGGAAAAATCGGCAGCAACGTGTTTAGTCGACTACGAAACAGGTCCACGGACGGCACCCATTCTCGGTATGGCAACGTTAAGGTCAGAGCCCCATCGAGCGGCGGCGGCGGCGGCGGCGGCGGTCGTCAAGGTCTCAAGCCGCCGCCGGAGGACGAGTACGCTCAGCGCTCGAGGGTGTTGTTGCGGAGAGACGAGCGCGAGGTCGTGGTGAGTGGAGTTGTGGTGTGTGCAAGCGTACGGTGGGTGCTGCGCTGTGCTGCTTCTGGATTTGTGTTGGAAAGTTATGGAGGGGCGTGTTGAGCCTTGAGTCAGAGGGTACCCTTTGTATATGTATGCAATATGTGACCTTCTTTGTTTGTTTGTGTTAACACGGGACGTTATGCGAGAGAAAAGAGCAGAGGGCGAATGAAAGACACAACGGAAGGCTATAAAGGCGGCGGTCGGAAAGGGGATTGATCCCGGTCTACGACACTATGCATACCACGTGGCCGTGACCTGTCAACATCCCAAATTACTACCAGTGTTCAAGAATATTGCTGTACCTCACCCTCCTCGCACCTGTCATCTCTCTACCCCCCCCCCCCCCCCCCCCTCGAAACAAACTAAACAGACGATGCACACGCCCGGCGTGTTGCGCCCGGAGGGTGTTAAGCTGCGCGTGGTGAAGGCGTCTGGGAGAACGCTAGAGGACACCAAGTTCCACATGGAGATACGCACGCTGAGACCAGGCCAGGTTAGAGCAGCGTTGGGTTGGTGGATGAACTACGTCTTTGACCGCGCCTGTTTTTTTCGATGTGTTTTGCGTCTCGGCAGGAAGCCGTCAGCAGGAAGCCGTCAGGTGTGGGGTGTCTAGCATGGCGTCCAGATAGCGTTTAGGGTCGTGTTCGGAAGTACCGCTCATGGCACGAGTGCAGGTCGTGCACCCAACGCGTGCTCTGTACATACGCGCTGTGCACTGGTAAACCCCAGAACTTCCGTTGCTTCATTCAACCGTCGCGCGTCGTGATCGCGAACGCGGACATATGTAGGAAAACACCCCCCCCCCCGTCCCATCCCGTCCCGTCAAATGAAGCCAGTCAGACGATGATCACAACGGGGTCCGGCCGCCGGTTAGGTACAAACAGTCGAACGAAGCATGATTTGGATTTCGTCCATGCAACCCACAACAAAAACGTGTCATGATCCCACATTGTACGTACCAGAACGCGCTCAAACACACGACCTCAGCACCAGTACCCCAATCCTACTTATGTCGTAAACACACCACCACTACTGCACTACTGCTACGCAGGTGTGGTCGGTATGCCGGAGGTACAAGGACTTCCAGAGCCTGCACTCGTGCCTCCAGGCGACGTTCCCGGCCCTGGTGCTGCCGCGGTTACCCCGCCCCCCGACCGGCGGCGGGGGGATGGCCCTGGAGCCGGCGACGCTGGAGAGGGCGAGGGCGGGTCTGCAGGCGTACGCGGCGGCGGTGGTGGGCAGCGTGCCCGCGGCATGGGGCCTGGAGGAGCTGGTCATGTTCCTGGACTCGGAGGAGAAGGGGAGGAGGCTCTTTTCGTCCAGGAAGAGGAAGAAGAAAGAGGCGACGCGAAGGTAGGTGGTGGCAATGATCCCTGCTGGTGGTGATGGTGGTGGTGATCGTCCTCCTGTTGGTGTTAGTGTTGGTGTTGGTGATGATCACTGTTGTTGTTGTTGGTGGTGGTGGTGGTGGTGATGATCGCTGTTGGTGTTGGTGTTGGTGTTGGTGATGATGTGATGATCGCTGTTGGTGTTGTCGGTGATGATCCCTGTCGTGTTTGTGATGTGTGGTGGTTGTTCCTGTTGATGTTGGTGTTGGTGATCCCTTGTTGCGGTTGATGGTGGTTGTGAATACCCCTGTTGGTTTTGGTGATGTGTGGTAATCGTGTTGGTGTCGTTGTAATTGTGTTGTTTTTCGGTGGTGGTGGTGGTTGTGTTGCCGTTGCTGTGGTTCCATCACTACTGTAGCCCCCTTGTTTCTGGGGCGTCGATGAGGGGGGTCGGTTGATGCATAAGACTACTGCACGCAGACAAATAAATCGATGCGTAGCTCCTCAGAGATGGAGAGAGCACCGTGTCTTGTCGGTACCCATCCTGCTGCTGTAACTCCTTTCGAGCGCCTGGCTGGTTTGGTGCCATCGCCTGCCTCCCAGACTATCTAGTATCTTGGAGGGGGGCAGGCGGATAGTTTTTTTCTACTCGGCGGGGGGTAGGGGTAGAGGCCAGGGTATGTTGGTGTGCGTGATGGGCGGGCCTGGAGTTGAGGGGCGAGTGTTGTTTATTGTTTTTTTTCGTCACTTTTAAATCTTTAACCAGCGCTCAATCGTTCAACATTTCGTGTTCTTGGTCTGTTTTCCTTCGGTCAGCAGGATTGTTGCGTTACCATCACCTGCCGCCGAAAAGGAGGAGGAGGAGGAGGAGGAAGAGGAAGAGGAAGAAGAAGAGGAAGAAGAGGAGGAGGAGGAGGAGGAGGAGGAGTTCAAACCAGTCGCCAGAAAAGCGGCGGCCTTCCCACCCGACCTGGTGTCGCCGAAAGCGGGAACGCCCGGCGTTGGCTTCGGCCAGAAGGTGCGAGTCTATGTGATATATTGGTGTTGGCGACGAGGACTTTGCGGTGTGTCTGGTGGGCTGGTGGTGCTGTGGTACGGGCTTATGAGTAGATTGATGTGCAGTTCTTGCATTAGTTCGTTCTTTTGTTGGTTGTATTCTATCGTTTTTGAGGAGTAGCAACTCTGCTGTTGCCCATGTTGGGTCTGAAAAAGAGAGGAGAGGTCGTCCCACGTAGTTTTTTTTTTTATTGCAATCGTAACGTAGCTAGGCCCCATTGCCGTTGCGCTTTTATGACGGACTACAGCGAGCTTCGTCCGCTAAGCATCGAAACTACTCGTTCTGTTGTTTCCTGGGGGACCCCAGAAGGTATACATTGTTTTTTTTGGGGGGGTGGGCAACATATAGTCCCTTGCGGGACCCAAAGCGCGGGGGGGGGGGGGGGGTGTACTCATAGTCGTGCATGCCGTAGTCGTTTGACCATTGACCTCGCATCCCTACAAAGCCGGGACGGAGCACGCCGGGTTCTCACCGGACCAGGCTCTCACATCACCAAGCGCGAAGCGCCGTGAGGTATTTGGCGAGTCGCATGAAGGGTGAGCTGCCATCCTGCTAAGGGTGTTCGGCATCTTGTGCTTACTTCCTTGCGTACGTATGACAGCTACGTATGACTTAATTTATTTTCTGGTGCTTTCAGTTCCAGAGACAGTAATAAGCACTGTGTAACTGCCTCGAGGAAGCTTGACCATTTTAACACAACGTGGTGCGATCATCCCCCGTTGCGCGGAGTGAGGTTTCTCCACCCCGCACAACATGATCTACTCGACCACCATTATGGTTACCGCCAAAAAAAAAAACGAGGTAAAAAAAAAAACGGTAACCTGGTTGCCGAGTTCACGAAGTGAATTGGCTTGTTTTACAACGTCGTTGCCAAGCGACGAAAACCCAATCCCGATGGCAAACACCGAGTGGGGGGGGGGGAGAAGTAGAGTATTTGCCCTATCTACTCCGCGTGCTCCCTAATATGTGGTTTCCCCCTTCTGAACGACAAGAACAATACTGGTGGTCTCTTCTTGCTTCTCTGCGCGCGATACACTGAATATATGTGCAAGCAACCCCGCCCTTGTTTCTTCTGTCCATGGCAAAAAAAAACTCAACACAACACGGAACAGTCCCTCCTGGACCTGAAAGTGGAGGAGAAGAAGCTGGCCCTGGCGGCCTTGGAGGGCGCGGCGGCTAACCACTTCGACGGCGTCGGTGCGGTGATGAACGCGGCGGTTTCCTTCTCCGAAGACTCGGACGACGACGCCTCGCAGGAGTTCGGGGAGGAGAGCGACTTCATCGACGGAGGTTGGTTTTTCCTTTGTTGTTGTTGTTGTTGTTGTTGTCTCCATGTGTCGTTGTTGCCGGTCTTGGCGCTCTCTAAACTCTAAAATGTCGTGGTGGGTATCTATTGTTGTGTTTTTTTCTAGTTATCGTCGTCGTCGTCATCGTCGTCATCGTCGTCGTCGTGGTTGTTGTTGTTGTTGTTTCGGTTGCTGGTTTTTGTCGTGTTTGGAAGACGCGATGTGCGATGCGAGGGATGCTGGCCAGGGCGCATGCCGGCTCCAAAAGTAACCATGTACCTCGGCCAAGCCTGGTTTTGGGCACGACCTTTATCCCTGTCCTTCTCGCGAAGGAACGCGTGTACATGTATGTAGAAAATACGTACTTGGTTCTCGCAAGAGACGTGCCTCTATCGGACGCGTTATCCTTGTTCTCTCGCGAAGATATGTGTTTTTTGTGTAATAGATAGAACAAACGCCTTTTTTTATCAAGCAAGAGACGTACTTGGACCTCATATCCGGCACGTTGGTTGGTTGGTCGGGTGTCGCCTGCGCGTTTGCAGAGGACGCGATCCGAGCCATGCTGGACAGGGATGCCGATGAGGCAGAGGACGACAACCTCTTCAGCATCCCCGCGGGCACCGACTTCGGCATCCCGCTGGACGACGACGACGACGACGATGACGACGACCAAGATTGCAGTGCGGACGCCTTTGACATCACGTACCACGGTTGAGTATGTTGAGTGGTTGGCTGGTCGACGTCGCTAGCTAGCTCTTTGGCCCCTTTCTTCTTTTCTAACCCTTTGGCTTTAATCGTGTAGTTCTGTATCGTCTTTCTGTCACCGGCATCAGCAAGCGTGTCCGAGGGCCTTCGCCTGCTACGGTTTGAGTAGTTGTTGGGCTTTTTTTGCCTTTAGGCATCGCTTTTTTATTTTATTTTCTTGAGGCTTTCGGCTTCCTCATCCCGTGGGAGGATGATGGATGGTATGATTCACGGGATGGGACGGATCGGATGTCGGGAAACTTGTGCATTTAGCTCGCGGGGAGAAGCGGAGGGAGAAGAGAGAGACACAGAAGGGCGCGCACACCTTGTCTGCATGTTTTGTGTGTTTGTTTCTTTTTCTTGTCGTTGGTATTGTTTTGATAACCCTTGTTGTGCTTACGAGATAGCGGCATCGATGTCGGCATGGATTTGGGGTTAGAGTGTCATTGTGACGAAAAATGATTGATATAGTTCAATGGATCGTTGTTCTTGTCGGTAATTTTTCTGTGTTTTCGATTTGAGGGCGTGCTGTCAACCTCCACTAGTTTTCGACAGTCTAAGAGATGGAAAGGAGAAGGAGAGACAACTTCGTTTTGTCGGTTCTGGGCTCAACAGGAACAGCAGTAGTGGTGTTCGGGCGGTAACACGAATAGTTACGGTAGCATGGACGGAAATACAAACGTTGACAAAACCTATAAAAAAAAAATGATGCCAAGTCGCCGCGGAATTTCCACCGTTGATGGTGTTGGGAGGCGACAACCGTACGTCGCGCTACTTCCTCTCTCAGCGGGGAGGGTGGGTACCTGTTCCAATGTCCCCAGGTGATGTGCGGCTAGTGATACCATGTCGTGGAGAGCAGGCGGAGAGCACCGGAGGTCGGCCTTTGTTTCCCGGCGCATCAAAGTCACGGGGGCGATTTGGCTGGTTGAGTGTTGTGTTGTTTGTGTGCGTTTGGTGGCCGTGGTGGGGTGGTTTCTGATTATGTTAGTTTTGTGTTTTGTGAAGGAACAGTCAGCGAAGACTGCCGTGCTTCATGGAGAGGCGATTTGGTTTGTCGGCATTTTTTTCTTTTGTCCCAGGATGGACGATCTCCCCCACACACGCACACACCGGCTCCCTGTTTTTTTTTTGTGAAATGTTTTTTTGTCACCTGTGTCGGGCGCCCGGGCCGAGCGGACTACTCGCAGTAGGTAACAAAAAGAGAAAAAAAGAGGGCGAAA